CCCCCCGTGATGACGTTATCGGCAGCCACAAGGTCGCCTCTCAACCTTCTCTTGCGGAGGCTGAAGAGGTCCAGTTTCTCTAGTCTCTCCTCGTAAGGCTTGGTCTGTAGGCCCTTAACCATACGAGTGGCCCGTCTCTGGACCCTCTCCAGGTTATCCGCATCCCTCTTGAAGCGCGGCGCCCAGAATTGCACGCAGTACTCCAACTGCGGTCTGACCAGCGCCCGATAGAGGGGAAGTATCACCTCCTTGGACCTATTCGTCATGCATCTGCTGATGCACGATAAAGTGCCATTGGCTTTTTTGATGGCTTCGTCACACTGCCAACTCAGGTTCATCTTGGAGTCCACCAGGACTCCAAGATCCCTTTCCACTTCCGTGCCACCCAGCAGGTCATTCCCTAGGCTGTAGGTGTGCTGGACATCTTTCCTCCCTAGGTGCAGCACTTTGCATTTCTCCTTGTTGAACTGCATTCTGTTGTTTTCTGCCCACTTGTCCAACCTGTCCAGATCTGCTTGTTCAAGCACTGTTATTAGTAGGTGCTAAAGGGGAAAGGCTTAGTACAAACCTTTGTTCTCTGCCTGTTCCCTGCTCGTTTTATACTCATTTATTTCAAGAAGGCAAGTAGCCTCACTAACTTCTCTGTACCCAGGCCCAAAGTACTTGGCCAGGCCCCTTATTCCTTGCACAGGGGCCTAGTCCAAACTACAGATCTATTCTAGTCAGTCTAATGTACTTTATTGTTTCAGCCTCACTTCTCAAAATGTTAGGCATTAAGAACACGGGCTGTTATTTGTTTGGCCTATCAATCATAGAGTACAGAGTACATGAGGCTATACCATAACTAATTACAATAACAACAACAACAATAATAATAATAATTCCTTACAGTACAGTTTTCCCAGTTCTCTTGACATTTCTGTTGCCATTTCTCTTTTTCTGTTCTTTGTTTTCTGGTTTGCAAAATATGCCCTTCTCCTCTGAAGAACAGCTCTTCTTCTAAAGGCCCTGTTCAGAAAAATATGTTTATGGTAACTGATAGCCCATGGCGTCTGTATTTAGTCACTGACTGAGACAATATCTGCAGTTGGAAAGGCATTTAAGATAAAATAAAATACTTGATATTATGACAATGTCAGGGCTGGACACAGGCTTGGGTGAACCTGGCAGCCGCCTTGGGCTCTGACAGAAAGGTGGCCTGAAAATGGTATTTTTTTTTTCCATTGTCCGATTATTATTATCATTATCTCTGGCGAAGGGGGCCCTGATATTAAAAGTATGCCTGGGGCTGCCAGGAGTCTAGGAACGGTGCTGGACAATGTAGGTTCTCAGCTCCGAGTTGTAAATAAGTTGGGAGGTTTTCTACTTAATCATTTGTATTAATTCAACAGTCTGAGGTCATTGTAAGTGGGCACACTTCTATTAAATTACATGTCCTATTCAACTCTGTGCTAAATAAAACATTTTATTTCAATGGTAAACTTTAGGCATCAAGGTTTGAAAATATTTGCTTCTACTGGCTAGGCTGCAGTACTGCAGAGAAGGATCTGGGGGGAGACTATCAACTGAATATGAGCCAACAGTGTGCTCTTGTTGCAAAAAAAAAGCCAGCAGCATACTGGGTTTTATTAAACAGGAATGTTATGTGCAAATCAAGGGAAGCTGATTCTTTCATTTCATTCAGCACTGGTGAGGCCTCACCTTGAGTACTGCGTCCAGTTTTGGACCCTACATTTCAAGAATGAGTACAGTTTGGAAAGAGCCCAGTGCAGAGCAACAAAAATGATTAGTGGCCTGGGAGGCAATACTTATTTAGTCTGGAGAAAAGAAGACTGAGGGGAAGACCTGAAGGGCGATTACAGAGAAGATGGAGATGGATTTTTCTCTGTAGCTCCAGTGGATAGGATGAGGAGAAATGGCCTCAAGCTGCAGCAGGGGTAATTTAGGCTGGAGATTAGTGGGAGCCTTCTGACTATGAGGGTGGTCAAGAACGGGAACAGGTTACCTAGAGAACTGTGGCATCTGCATCCTTGGAAGTTTTCAACAGTAGATTGGACAGACACTTGGCTGGAACGGTTTGGTCAGGGATGATCCTGCCTTGAGCAGGGGGCTGGGCTAGATAACCTTGTGAAGTCCCTTCCAGCTCTGCTTTCCCATGATTCTACGACACTAATTTGGTTCATGTTATGCAATATAAGATCAAGCAATACTGAGCAGCAGTGTGCTGAACCTTTAATTTTTAAGAGTTAGGGATGGATGTGTAACTCATGAACCATGGACCAAAGTTACAAGTGTTTTTTTATGATTGTTCTGACCACTTGACCATCCTTATTTGGAACAGCCCTTAAATATATGCTTAAGGTTCATTGAATCAATGGGACTATTCACATAAAGTTATGGATATATTTAAATTCCTTGCTGAGTTTCCATTTAGGTTCCAATTAGGTTTCAGTTTGCATTAGGTGACTGATGCAAATACTTACCTAATTTTAAACATGTGCCTAACTGGACAGTTGTAGGGGGTACAGTAGGGCCCCACATGCATAAAAGTAAGCAGGTGTTACTGTTTCAGGGTTGGACTTTGCATGCTGTGTGCTGTCTGTTATGTCCTGTACATATGTATCTGTGATATTTTATATAATAGTTAAAGTCAGTGTACTTAAGAAGAGCACAAGGTAAGCAGTAATGCTGAAATTGTAAAAAAACCCAACCCCAAACAACCCCAAAAAACAGCTTTGGCTTTGGTGCTCTTTTCAAATGCTATTTATCTTTACAGTGCATTGTCTGGACGGTTTTAAAAAAGAAATCTAAAAATAGAGGGATGAAATCTTGACCCTACTAAAGCCGATAGCAAAACTTCCATTGATTTAAGTAGAGCCAGGATTTCACCTCGGCAATTAAAAATTGTTCAGATAAAGTACTTAGGATTTAAGACTTTAAAGTGAATCCATCTTTTCTCAAAGGAACACATTTTCATCTTTACCTTCCCTCACTCGGGGGCAACGAATCTGATTTCCTCTAACGTCATGTTCTTCTAACTCATGCCAAATAAGATATTTGAAGGAATCTGAGGGAAGCTTAAAGAAAGGATGCAAAAGAAAGGAAACAAAGGATCAGTTAATGGGCTTAAATATTTGGCAGTATCTTCCTACTTATACAAAACCCCATGGCCTTATTCCAGTACAAATAATATACACACATGCTTGATGATTGCTTATGGCTGAGATATGATGTAATTATGTCTGGTGATGATGAACTGTTCCTTCAAACTCAGTTATAAAATGGCACATGAACAAGAGGGTTGCGTGTGTCTGTGTGCATGTGGGGGGTGGGGAGGAAGTGTGTGCACAGGCTTTAATTCAATTTAAGACATCGAAGTGGAAGCACAGAAAATATGAGAAGACTAAGAGGGGATTTGATAATGGCCTTCAAATACATGATGTATGGTTATAAAAAGGATGGTGATAGACTATTCTTTGTGGCTGCAGGAGACAGGACAAGAAGTAAGTCTTAACTTGCAATAAGAGAAATTTAAGTTGAATATTAGGAAAAACTTGCTATCAATGTTTACCTAAAGAGGTTGTGGGAACATCTTAGAGTCTGGATGTTTTAAGAGCAGGTTAGATAAACATTTGTCTGGGATGGCTCAGGCAGGGATATTCCTGTCTTGACCAGGAGGTTGGACTGGATGACTTCCTGAGGTCCCCCCCTGCCCTATTTTTCTATGATTCTATATGCCATTTGTCTTCCCATCAAATTTGCTTTGACCAGCAGCCTCAGGGAGGAGTTGCAGCATGCAGCCTAGAAGTATAGTCTTCAGTTTATGCTAATCCATCACTGGCTCAGCGATAGTCCCCATGCACAGCCGCAAACACCGAACTCTCCTAGGCTGCATCCAGATGAGCACGGCTGTGCGGTACGTGGCGCAATAGATACGTCTGCAGCACCACATACCGCATGTTCCATTGTTTTCCATGCTACAGGGGAGCAGTGCGGAGCGGTTTTTTGACCCCTGAATATCCAAGGGTCAAAAAAACCTGCAGAGAAAAAAAGTGAAGTGAAGCCAGAGCCTGGCTGGTCGGAGCCGTATCCTGCTGCTGGCTAGGCTCTGTGTGGCAGGATCACCACTGCTGCAGCCCCAGGAGGCCCCCAGGACTCCTGGTAAGGCTGCTGGGGCCAGCCTAGTGCTGGCCCCAACCTCCCCTACCCAACCTGGGGTAACTTGCCACACGCCAGTGCACGCGTGGCATAGGCGTTCCCCAGGGACAACTAGAAGTGGCACAAGGTGTGCTGCCTCTAGTTGTCTCTGAGGAACCAAATGTCCATACATGTCTGGATGCACCGGCTAACTGGATACAGCATCATCTGCAGTCTTGCAGCACATGCAATATATTTTATAGCATGGATCTAAACCCATTTGCAGGGTGCTTCATGGGTTACCGGAGTAGGCATGCACTGCCCAGAATCTGGCCCACTGTGCCTATCTAGAAATATAGGACTGGAAGGGATCTCTTGGGTCATTGAGTCCACTCCCCTGATATTGCAAGCAACCATGTTCTTTCCTAAACTCATCAAACCCTGGAGGTTAAATAGGACAGAATGGACTCCTTAGAGTCTTGTCTGGCCTTAAAAGCACTGTCCATGTGTGTTTCTCTTCAATACACATATAACCAGACAGGTATACAAAACACTTACTGGTGAAGATATCCCTGAATTGTGGCTCTGTTGGATTATTTCTCTGTTGCGTGATAAAATCAGCAGAGGAGTATTTGTATCGTTTAGCACAGTGCAGTTAGAGGAATGGGGTTTACTGAATTGAAGATTGCATGTATTCAGACCTGAGGAACTAATCAGACAAGATTTTAAACCATTAACACACTTTTTCAAGGGAATGGGAAGCAGAGAGTTTTATGGACAATATAAAACAAAGTAGCAAGGTTCACCTTTAATATGCTTTAAATTGTAACTGAAGCCTAATGTGTGATCAGACTGTGTTCACAGGACTCTGGGGTATACATAGAGTTTAAATCAGTGGGTCTGCTTACCTGAATACAGTTACTTCCACGCATAAATGTTTGCAGAATGGGTCCCTAAAGAGGGGGCTTGTATTAGCAGTTTGTAATCAGAATTCACATTGAAAACAATGGGGAATTGTGCTTGTTCATCAGTGGCATGATATTACTTGGTGTAGTTACTTATACTTCAAGCACAGTTTGTAAGAAAGATGCCCCGCTCCCTACAACCCCCACCCCCTCTCCTCCCAAAAGCTACATGTTTCTCCCATCTGTAAATTTTGGCAAAGCAGGTGGGCTTCAGGATAGAACTGAACCTTTTGAATAACTTCAGACATGAATATTCAAACCACTGGGTTTATGTGCTTGGCTGGACCTACACCCAAGAACATTTTTAAGGGTTTTATTTGACAAACAAATGGAAATTTCTCAAATTGTGCTTCAAAGCGAGCGAACATCTCCCAAGCCCACAGCTGCAATTTAGAAATCTACCATGGAAAGCTTTGGAAAAATTAGTTTAACTTAGTAACTGTGTGGATACAGTAAAATAGCTTGCCTGTTCCTCTACAAGCTCTGTGAGCTGTCAAGAAATATCATTAAAACAATTATACACAGGAAAAGAAATGAAGAAATAAAATGTGCAGCTTTAAAATGCTCTAGTGAGGATGGTAATGAAAGTTTCATGGTGAGCCAGAGTGTATCAGACAAGTTAAGTAAAATAGAATAAAATCAGGATTACATAGCTATTTCAAAATAATCAAGAATAGACTTGATATTGCCCTGCTAAGGTTTTCCATCTTTCTTCTTAAGTATCATCAAAAACACATCTAGTATCTTGTCTGATTTTTATCTGATAGCCCGTAATGTCTTTGCAACAGGCAAATGGCAGAAGAGAAATGTATGTTACTATTGCTTCTACCTCGTTCTTTTTATTTATGGGCTTCAGAGAGGAACAATAACCAAAGGGTGACTTGGAAGGAAGCCCTGTGTGTTCAGCATTTCTGAAAATGTAACTGTTTATTTTGGTGCTTTCAGGCATCATCTTTAGACAATCAGGTAATGAATGCTTTTGCACATTTTCATATATGCCTACTCGGGTAACTGGAAGCATGAAGTAGCATCATCCTGTAAAGAAGATGGAGTAACTATTAGCAGGTGGTGAATGTTTGCTGAAGACCAGACCTCCTAAATTGGTTTTGTGTTATTGCTGCCTGGAGGTTGCGCACACTCTTGATGTACTACAGGTTAAATAAGGCTACATTAGAGAGGAAGATATATAGAAATGGTTTTATAGTTGTGGGTCAAGTCTGTTACATTTGTGTGGAAATGTGAATAATTCACATTAAGTACGCGATACATTGTTATGTAATTCCAATGGTGATATTTGGGGTTCATAGATAACAATGATAAAAATAGTTTACTTTTTTTAATCAATGGAGAAATGGACCTTTTGGATATCACTGTTACTGACACGCCCTCACTGGGGCACTGCAGTCACGAGAGAACTTGGTTTTCTTTGAATGTCCTTGCACACGGAGCGTAACTTGAAATAATATTGTGTGTTATATTTTTTCAGTTAATTTCTCTCTTGTGAAAAAGACTGTTTAGAAACCAAGGCTGCTTATTTATGAAACAACTGCATTCCCATGCTGCCTACCAATGGCCCACAAACCTGGCTTGAAAGGATAAACCTCCAAAGACTGGCATCCACAAACTCACTTAGCCCATGGTTAAAACAGCCAGTATAGGTTTATGGGTTATACTCACCTTCCCTTCTAGAAACTGTAATAATACTAAGCCAGTTTCTTAGCCAGTGTACACCAGCAGGGCTGCACTGCTATCTGTGGTGATTTAAACAGGATTAGGATGATGGTTTAGCATTTGAGTTAGCATTTGGCCCACTGTTTACTATCAGGTGGTAACAGCTTTTAAACATTACCAACCTGGAGGGTGTGTTTACACATGCATTTGATGTGGGAACAGTTTACTTGTGAGTAAACTACTCACGAGTAAATGCTCCCAGGCAGGCAGCCACACATGCGGAGAAGTGGTAGCAGATTTGCTCCTAATGGCAGCAAACTGCTCCTGCTTCCTGGGGTCCTGCAATGGGCCCCTGCCGCCACCAGGGGGAGCTCTAGGCTAGCCCAGGGGCTGGCAGTGAGCACCAGGCCTGGAGATTATTGTCTCCTGGATGGGGCTGGCCAAGGCTGGATTAACCCTTTAGGGGTCCCTAGGCAAACAAATTTACGGGCCCTGGGCTGGTTGAGACCCGCATCCCCACCCTGGCACTGCTGGCCATGGGGAGCAGGGCTTAGAGCTGCCGCTAGGAAGCAGCTGTTGTGGTGGCGAGGCCGGTGGAGGGGAGGGAAAGGGAAGGGAAGGAGGTGGACGGGGCCATTCATGCTGCCACCACGGAGGGAAGGACTGGACCCTCCACAGCTCAGGGCCCTAGACATGTGCCTAGCTTGCCTATGAGTTAATCCAGCCCTAGGGTTGGGACATCGCACCCTGTCCCTGGGGCTGCCTGCTGCTGGGGCAGGGACTATGTCCCCTTTCCCAGAGAGCAGGGAACTCCTGGCCCTGGCTCCCAGATCAGGGGCAGGGGAATTAAAAAGAGCTGCAGGCAGTGGCAATGCGTAGGAGATGCACGGGGGTGTATGTGCACCCCCTGACAGGCCACGCTCCCCGCTTAGGTGATGGGCAGGTGGGCGCGCTGGTGCCCCACTGGAAGTGCTGGCCAGGGAGCGGGAGCACCAGATGAAGTGCTGTGGCCACTTCCGGGAGTGCTGTGGCCACTTCTAGGAGCCCCATGGCCGCTTCCTGGTTGGTGCAATCAGCCATGGGGGGACCCCCCCCCAGTCACTGACTGGCCACTGTGGGGGCACGTGGCCCCCCTGACTAAGGTGGCACCAGTCACCCATGGCTGCAGGGGACATGGGGCAACAGGGATCTCCCTAGCCCCCATTCCTGGATTGCGATCTTGGAGTTGGGGGCTTGAGTCCCTGTTGCTGGGCAGGGGGACACAGTCCCTGGCCTGGGCTTCAGTGGTGGAGCCCACCCTGGCAGCAGACAGCTCCCGGGGCACAAAGCAATCTCTTGCCCCATGGTGGCCAGGTGGCTGGGAGCATATTTGCTCCTGGTCAGGTGTCTACATAAGCACTACTGCTCAGTAAGCAATCAAAAGTAAATTTGCTGCTTGCATTTGCAGGTAGCAAATTCACTTGTGATTAGCAAGGTTTACTGCACAGTAAGCATGTGCACGTGTGGACACACATGCTTCCTGTGTAGTAAACTTCACAACTGAGCAGTAAAGCGTCTCGTGTAGGTGCACCCAGAGTGGATTTGAAGCATGTCCTACTGTTAAAACCTTGTAAAAACTCCAAAGCCTGGAAATCTAGTATTAAAACTAAATATCCACTCATAGCTCTTAACTTCTAGCAGCTGTCATTACTTCTACTGTAGAGTCCTCAATAATTCATTGTAGAAATCTTCTACTGAATTGAAATAGAAATCCAGAAACAATGTCTGAAAGCTAGGACCCGCCTGACTTTTCAGGTCCTTCTCTGTATACCCAGTGATTTCAGAAAGTTTAAGCTAGACCTCAAACATGTTAATATACACTTGCTCAGAGAATAAGGTGAACACTGATTTCTCTCTCTGTCTCTGTCCCTTTTTTTTACGACTACCACTTACAGTTGATCTAAAGGAAATTGCAATGAAAGATACAGGATGTAATTCAAAATAGCTGTAGCTCACAATACATGGAACTAACTAAACTTTTGCCTTAATTGTGGGGCCTGTTGGCTGGGTATGACTCTCCAGTGACACTTTTTGGAGCAGCACACTAGATTATGTCACCCATTATAGGAAAAAAAAACCCAACAGATTCATGCTCTCTGTCCAGGCTGACTCATTTCCTCCCACTTTGCCTGCAGTGAGAAGCTGGTGGCTATCATAAATCACAGATCTAAATTCTTATGAGAGAGAAATTAATTTCCCTAATGCTCTAATAGGAACCCACTGTGGTGATAACCTTCCTGCTTTCTCTCTCTTCTCAACAGTGATCTATGATATCTTTTGAGCAGATAGGATTCCTAAAAAGTGAGGAAACCCTATGAGAAGGGCTAAAGAGACTTAACATTATCATGTGAAAGAATCTTTTTCATATATTGACTCTGATTTTTCAGCTGGTTCTCACCTGAGTCTCTAAAACCATAATGCAAGGATTTTAGTGGATATCTTTTAAGGGACCAACTGTATAGTTAGGAGGGATAGAGAGACCCTGTCACTCACAAAAATCCATGCCTCTCACATTTTTCCTCACAGCTACAATATCACGTCATTTCTAAAGTCCCAGGAGTACTGGGGACCATGATTTTAGACATGAAGTGATGTGCAGACAATGTCAGATCTATAAACAAAACACATCGAAGGTGTTTTAGCTCAAAAGCACACTGCCGCCATTTCGCCATTTATACAAATGTATGTGACGCAGTGCTGGTCACGTCACCTCACGTGCAGAGAGGAATCAATGAATTGAGTTTGCTCCAATGTGCTGGATTTTTGGTGCATTGGAGCAAACAAATGCATGTGTATTAAATGCCCACAATGTCAGATCCATAAACAAAATTTGAAGGTTTTTCCTCACTAGACAAAATATGCTTAGCTGTTGATATAAAGGTATTTAAAATGTCATTTGAAACAGAGTTGGGCTACCTTCTGAATGGGCAAGAAGAATTGGCTTTCATTGCGTTGGGTTTAGCTTATTTCAAAGAAGTAAATAAATAAATAAATAAGAAATAAGAAAGGTCGCTTAACTGGAAAAACAAGCACTGAAAAATCTTGCTCTTTGTTATCCCATTGTTACTCCAGACTAATCATTTAGTGAAGATAGTGTGAATGTGGGTGGAACTGACAGCAAAATTTGGCTGCTAATATTAGCTCCTGTAGCCCTGACTGAGCAGCTGTGTCCTTGTATTTTCATGGTGTCAGTGATGTTGAACAATTAAACAGCTAACATATCTGATTTTGCAAACTGGAAGCCATGAGCGCACAATGGCTGTGCACATGACATTTTGTGGTGCTGAGCCAGACCTCTTAAAAAAAACATTGAAGTCTCAGTTTTCACTAATAGAAACTCATTGGCCCACACCAATAAAACAAGGCCTGTTGCTCTTCCGAATGGCAAAACTTTCACAGAGAGTAGAACAGGATGAGATACATTTGATAAGAGTTGTGCAGGGTTTGGTACATTTGATATCACCCAAATGTGTACACTACCTAATTACTGCTCTGAATAGATAAGTCTGTCTGTATTAACTTGGAAGACAGGATAATATAGGAAATCATTAAGTGTAAAGAAGTTTCAAGTGAAGAATCTGGGATATTTGGCAAGGTAAAAGGAAGCATTTCAAGCCAAATGTTCCTTTTTCTCTCATGCAGTTCTCAGTCTTGTAATAGAAATGTTTCAGGCTATGCCAGATTCAGTGCTTTGCTATAGAAGAAGAATGGACTACTCAGTAGGATTATTTGAGCTACAGTGATTTGCCTTCTCAATCCCAAATGTGTCCTTCACTTCTGCTGGGAACTGTAAGGCTGGGGGATTAATGACAATCTGTTTATATTGTCCCTGTAAAACTCCTTGCAGAGAAAACTTACCTGGGTATCATTATGGTCCCGCTATAGCCCTTATACATTGCTGAAATGACATACAGGGGCAGTGAAGGCCCGTTGTGGCCTTTCACTTCGATGGGAATGTAATCAGACCCATAATTAACATCACAGTTCTCCACAGTTATTATCAAGCCGATACAGGAGAAATTAGAAATCAGAATGAATGTAAACAGAAATACCAATTTATGGAGCTTTTAACATTATAATTAAGGAGCCCCCTGCCCCCCCCTCAAAAAAACCTGAAACAAAACAAAAAAACCCGAAACAAACCCCCAAGGCATGTTAAATCTCCAAAGAAAAACAACTTAGGTCAACTTGCTAATATACTCCTTCTTAGACACCTTTTTGGACAGCCAGTTTTGCATGTTTCTACTAGATACCTTTTTATGCAGCCACCTCAACTGCTCAAACAAATAGCTATTTGTACCCAAGATACCGGGACCTCAACACTTTTGCAAGCACAATCCACTACACGGGCCAAAATGAATGTTCCAAAATGAAATCCAGGTTTAACTGGCACATCTCAACTTGATGTATGGTATAAAGGCCAGACATTCAAAATTTAGACTAAACCTCTTTCCTCAGTTCATTGCACTGTGTTCAGCTATTGCAACAAATGCCTCCAATACAAGTAAGGTCAAATATTATTCTGAGTGATCGCTTATATCTTAAATGTAGGCTCAGTGATGGATGTTGCATCTTGCTGTTTCATTAATTTCCTGTTTATTTTCTTCTATCAATTTCATTTTATCCTTTGCAATATTTTGAAGTAATCCCTTTGGAAGTAATTTAATGACAAACTCACCTTGCAGCTATGGTCATAATTCATCTTTTCCATTAGTGTACAGTCAATCATCTTGCTTTATATACAATAAAACTTTGCCACATGAAAAAGTCATAATGAATAACCAACCTAATTAGCCATTACTAGTATATTTATCAATTAAATTCCATGCAGCTTTTCATGGGCTTACTTAAGACTGCAAATTTTACATCTTAATCAATGTACCTCTTGCACATGTATATCATAAATAATACATTTATGTCAAGACATCCTGTGGCCTGAAGTAATTAATAAATGACACCAAGAAAAAAATCTCCTGTACAATAGCCGCTATCAACAATTCAGGTACAGCAATTGTATGTTTTAATAAGATATTCAATCCTGTAACACTATCTTGGTTTTCAAAGCATGTTGAGTCAGCAGCTCAATGACTAAAGTTACTTTTCCTCTTTCGTTCTCCTACCTTTCGAACATGTCCTGCTGTTGCATAAAGTTCTCCCGGCTTGCATGAAGCTATTTGTCTAGAGAAAACGTATTTCTTCCCATCTTTCCCCACCTACGGGGCTGTCGGTCTGCATCCTTTGAAAAGCTATAGTCCCCTTCAGGGTCTTGGTTGGAACTCCATGGATTCACTGTCACCAAGGAAACAAACTGTCACCTCGCAACGCACAGTTGCTTTAGGAGCTATTGTTACCAATCTCTTAGCGCATCAATGGAATTCCTGTGCTGCTCTAGCCAATTACAATGAACCCTCCTTTCCAGGAGCTGTTTATAGAGCTGGCTGGAGACAGGTTGGCGATATCTGTGGCAAGATAAGCGATCACCCTGACCAATCTCTGAAATGCTGCCTTTGGGTGTGGACAGATGTAGCACTTAGGATGCCCTAAATAAACATTGAAGCCCATGAGTCTAGACATGTATGCCACTTAAGGGTGGCTTCAACTTTCTGGAACATTTCTAAAGCACACCAGGAAAATCAAGTACTATTTTGAGTCAGTCCTCTGTGCACCAATTCAATGTTACATGGGGGGACACAGCATTCTGTGCCTAGTGTCTGATCAGTCCTGTAGGTATCCATAACTGTACTGCTCTTCACCTACCTTCCCCTCCAAACACATACAGGGCAAGGGACTGCTCAGGGAGGCAGCCAGGATTATGCCTTCCTGATAGTCCATATGAGTGGTAAACCCAAGCATCTTGGCCTGTTTGCCATCCGTTCTACACACACTGGGTCATGGGCTCCCACATTCATTTGGGGGTGGGGGCAGTGGGAGTGGAAGGACCCTACATATGTTCACTATTGGCTTTTCCTTAATTCCATTTGCATTTGGTTAGCTTCAGCTTTAACTTGGCCTTGCTTGGAGGGTCATACAATCATACTAGAAGTAAAGAAAAATACTCTGAGATCTTTGCAGAAAAGTGCTGTCCAAGTTTGAAGAGTCTTATATTTTGTTTGGTGCTTTTATGAATGCTTGTAGGATGGATGCAACTCCTTACTGCTATTTACCATCCTTGTCTCAAATAAGAAAGTTGATAATTATGTATTAAAGTCTTTTAGAGCCCTCTTGCTTGAGTCCTTTTCTGAATATGAGCACAATGGCAGAAAATGAGCTGGTGAATTTTGGGTCTGATTTGTGGTATTTCCTTTATTGAAAACTTAAGTCCAATAAATACATCCTTTTTGGTACACCAGGTATCATTTAAGGGTTTGATAAATAACTCTACTGAAACTTTTCTCTTAATAACATGTCCAACATACTGCCAAGGTAGATCACCATGGAAACTTTTGTTGAGTGTTACACAATAGTAGGCAGATAAATGAAACTGTAATGAAAAATTGAGGATAATGTCCTTGGACTTAACCCTATGTCCGTTGAAGACAATGGGTGTCTTTACAGTGATGATAATAAGTATGGGCCCTGTGTCAAAGAATCATAAAAAAATAGAACTGGAAAGGACCTTGAGAGTGCAACCCCCTCTTCAAAGTCTGATTACCCTTTTTCTAAACCGCTCAATTCTATTGTTTGTTAATCCTGCAGTTAAAACCTGCCAGATATCTGCAGATGCCAGAAATATCCTATGCCCAGAGAAAATTCCACTGGAGATGTGATTGATTACTGCTTTTTAGCTTTCCTCCCCTCACATTGTGAATCCTCCCTTCCCTTCAGGGCCTACATTTCTCTAGACTTCCTTGTCATACTAGAGGCTCTAGGATTCTATACAGAAAACAGTCTTCACGCAGATTTCTAGACCTGCCAAAGCCTATTGTAGTCAATGGAGACTTCCCCAGTGAAAGACAGCAACCTAGAGTTGGAATTAAAGTTTCTACAGATTTGCATGAATGTGTAAATACTCATAAACTCTTCTGAAAGTTGAATGGGAAGCAATCGCTGCTGAAACATTTATTTTTCAATATTGTAAAATTAAAAAAATAAATTATCCTGTGAATAATATTTGAAAAATGCTGCTAATGAGCACTTAGGTCATTAAGAATCCCACAGTAGAGACAGTTCAGGGGATATTACAGCTGCTACAACAAACAAGCATTTTTCTATGGCTTGGTCACATCTTTGCTGTACTTGCCCAAGGGAAAATGTGTTTGGAAATGAAATAAGTCAGTAGGGATTTTTCTTTTTTGTTCTTCCTCAAAATATAAAATGTAAGGTACTACGCTGATGGTCTGAAGATTTTTATGGAAAAATACATCTCACAAAGGATCTAATAAATTATCAGTGTGATATTTCAATGCAATGGCATATTTAAGGTGGTGTCAGCATTTCCATTATAAACACTATTTTTCAGAGGTTTATAACCTAGCCATAAAACTTTTCTCCTGCCTGAAATGCAGCACTATACACCATCTCTGCCAGGTCAAAAATTCTTTTTTCTATTTAAAATTTGAACAATAAATTTGTTTGTGAGAAGCAGGTGCAAGACTCGTACCACTATCAAGCAGGCACTTTTTATACGTACCTTTAACTTACCAAATGTTGCTTGGCACATAATGAAAGTGCAGCTGCTACCATGTTGCCCAGGCATGAACTGTACAGTACAGAAGACTTTTATTCTGCAGTGTGATTAGTGATAGGAACACTTGTAATCATTATTGCTAATATTGCACAAGTATGGAGAAGTCCCTCAAAGATTGATCTCTATTGCAGGGGGTACATTACAAATAGATGGAAGTTCTGTGTCCTTAAATTTTACATCCTTGTTAGCTAGGACAGACCAGTAAAGGCTGAGACAGAAAATATTATTCCTTTCTTACAGATAAATGATTGAGGCACAAGACTACATGGTGCTGTTATAATCAATGGCCAACCCTCCGTTGGCTTCAATAGTCATACAAAGACCTTACTACTCAAAAGAGCAGATTTTTTGTTGCAAAGAGTCAACTTAAACCTCTGAGATTTTCTGATGTGTGTATAATTAGATAATAGGGGTGTGCAAAGTGGGCCCTATTTGATTTGGATTTGGATTCGGTCCGAATCAGGGACAGCGATTCGATTTGCTGATTCAGATCACAGTCCCCGATTCACATTGGCCAAATCCAAATCTGAAGATTTGATGCTGATTCAGATATAGACACAACTTTAAATGTTTTTCTACATACTCAAGGTACCAGCACGGCTCATGAACGCTGCGATGCTGGGGCGTTTAGAGCATTCCACAGGAGTGTGGGCGGGGACCCCCACATGCTCGGCAGTAAGTCTGGAAGTGGACTAGAAGTACTTCCAGTCCACTTCCAGGTCCACCAGGGAGTGCGTTGAAGGGCCCCACTGCCACCCATAGCTCAGTGATTGGCTGCAGGGGGACCCTGGGTTCCCCCCTAGACCCAGGAGGCACCAGTCGTTGAGCCAGCAGGGTGCAGGGGTGGGGGGCCCTGGCATGCTCTCTGGTGGACCCGGAAGTGGACTAGAACTGCTTCTGGTCCACTTCTGGGTCTGCTGCTGAACACGCTGTGGAGCCCCCGGCACTTTTGTGGGACACTCCATCTGCCCCAGGATCACAGCATTCATGAGCTGCCTGCTACCTAGAGGTATGTAGAAAAAACATTTAAAGCTGTGTCTATGTCCAAAACACTGAATTGTTCTGAATCGATTTGGAGAGATTAAAGGGTCCTCTGATTCAATTCGGATTTAGAGATTCAGTGGCCGAATCAGGCTGAATCTCCACCAAATCGAATCAGGGACTGAAGGTTCACACCGACCTATTAGATAATAATAGTAAAATACTTAAATTGTCATTCCACAGTACTACTCTTTGGTGAAAAATATTCATCTACATTTTTAGTCAATTTTCTGGTGTCATCATAACACAGCAGCTAGTAAAACCACTTTGCTATGGCAATCACATGATTTTTATCCATCTTCCCTAATGGAAAGCCATCAGCTTAATACCACCAGTTCAAATCAGTTCCCAGTACTTAATGCACATTAGAAAGAGACAGCTCATTGTTTTGTGGGATTTACCTGAGTGGAGCCTACCAGGAATTCATGTTGTTCATGTGGACTTGGCTTAAAATTCAAAAGACAGATTTAGAGAGAGATTTTCTGGTGTTCTAATTTGGGTAATTTGCATAGATGGTGACAGCTTTTAGGAAGTATTTTGCAAAGGAATACAATGTCATAACAAACACACACAAACAAGGTGGAAATTGGAGGAATTGGAAACTTCAGCACAGGCAATGATTTTTTTCTTCAGTGCAGCATCTGATTCTAGTATGCACCTCTCTTTCTAATGATAATGTTTTAAGAACATTGAGAAGGAACAATCAAATAAAAAATGTATTGTGTGCATTAAGAAGATTTTGGCTATCTGTTTGCAGAGGAAAGAAGAGGATGAAATGCTGGCTTCAACAAAGCCAATGGCAAAACTCCTGTTGATTTCAACAGTGTCACAGTTTCACTTTGAGTATTTCTTACTGAAGAAAAAATATCTTTCTTTCACTTTAAAGTACAAAGTTTTTAATTCTGATAAAACAATTATTAGGCATAATGGACTTGATCCAGCAAAGCACTTAACCTTATGCTTAACTTTTAGCCCTTAGGAGTTGTGCCTTCAGTAGGATCAGGATCAAACTCTTTTTATCTATAGAAACAAATTAAATTCTTCCAGGCTTTTCTAGCCTTTTCATATCAATTCAAGCCAAAGATTCATAGTTGAAGAGCCTGAACCAAAGCACATTAAATGTGCTCCTGCTAACTTTAATGGAGGTGGAATCAGGGAATCCTTGTCTAAATGGTATGTCATTGTTTTGCATATTTTCAGAAAAGAAAACTTAGTTCACTCACCACTGCCAAAGCAAAGAATATGGAGCTATAGATGAGGCTAATTGGAAGTGAGAGCTCAGATCCAGGTAGATGTTTGCTTCTTCTGAAATGCTTGCTATGATTTTGATGTTTGGTATTTCCATACACCAACAGTTAATCATTCCAAGCAGGAAAAAAATTGTCTCAAGGGTTTGCAGTATACAGAACATGTGTTTCATTCATCTGGTTTAGCATAATTCCACATAATCACACATTCCATTTGAATAGTAT